TTTCCACATGCCTTTATGTTTCAATCTTATTAAGGCAATCCCATTCATCTGAGGTCTCTAAAAACTTGTCTTTTTCACCCAAAGATTCATTTTTCCAATACCATGAAAAAAAAAAAATCTATATATATATTGTGTGTATGTGTGTGTGCACGCGTGCTAGATAGCGTAGTGCTTAGAGCATCGCCCTTTGATGTGGGAGACCAGGGTTTGAATCCCGGCTGGTACCTAGGGCAAAGAGCCCCCTAACACTTCATCTGCCTACCTCGAATATGAGAGTGACATGAACTAAGAGAGTCATGCTGGCTTGGACATTGCCCTGATTAACAAGATACACGCCAGATGTTGGGGAACCAGGACAACCTGATGATAAGTGGGCTACTGGAACAAACCATACATGGACGAAACAAGACAGCCTGGAATTGATGGAATGATGCTACAACAGTGGACCTGTTGAGGGGATATATGAAACGTATGAGGGAACTATGGATGGACAGAAGACCTACATCCACACTAACTGAGAAACAGCAAGTGTAGTTACCCAACGCTTCAACATAGTAAAGAGGAAGCTGCTCTCACAACTTGAGATAAACCAGCTACACATTACATCCTGGACTCATGAAGGTAAGGAAGAACAACTGCATGTGCAGCCAACACTGAAGCTGGAATGTCACTGCTACCCCCTCCATTACAGAGCACAGCAGCTGATATGAGGCATAAGATCATGGATAAACTAGCTACAGTCAACCCTTGAGACTGATTACCAAGGCTCAGTGAAGTTCCATCAGATAGTATGCTAGAAGATGCCAATGGAGTCCTCATGACAATCCCTACTAACACCATAACTCAAACCAATGGACTGGTATACACTACAGCCACTGTAATCCTAGAGATGCTTGGCTACACAATCAAGAACAGCAGTACATACCACCACCACCACCACCCTGGAAAATGAGATTGGAGGCTAAGATTAAGGCAACTTGGAGAGAAGTTAGTCAGCTGGTGGAACTATAGAAGGATGTGGAGATTAAGGATAAGACTTGACCTGTTCAAGAAGTATCACCTAGAAACAAGGAAGATCAAAGAAGCACTGAAAATAATAAAGCAGCAAATAACAGCTATAGCCAAAAAGATTAAACTATAGAAGGATGTGGAGATTAAGGATAAGACTTGACCTGTTCAAGAAGTATCACCTAGAAACAAGGAAGATCAAAGAAGCACTGAAAATAATAAAGCAGCAAATAACAGCTATAGCCAAAAAGATTACCAGATATAAAGCTCAAATTGCATACTATAGGCAGAGTCTCCAAGAAATGTTTCTACCAATCCATCAATGGAGAGACTACAGTGAACCAGTCAACACCTGACAAAGAAGAAACAGTGGAGTCCTGGGTGCAGCTATGGGACAATCTAAAGAAATACAAGAAAGCACCTTGGATAAAGGAGGTGGATAAGAATAAAAAAGAAGCTGAAATGAAAAAACTTGTAACAGCAGCAGAAATGGTGGAGAAAAGGGCAAGGAAGATCAAGAATTGGTCAGCACCAGGTGAAAGTGAACTATGTGGTTTTTGGCTGAAACATCTGACTGCTCTGCACTCACTTTGCACCCACTCACTGCCAAGCAGTTTAACAACATATCATAAGGAGGTGAAATTGAAGATTGGTTTTTGAAGGTATTTGACTCCCTGCCACATGACTGGATAGTCAGGTGCCTAGAAATAATGGGAGTCTGTAGAAACATCAGAGGCTTTGTACAAAGACCAATGGCACAACGGAAGACACAGTTGCTGGTCAATGGTGATAGACTGGGAGAGGTTAATATCAAGAGAGGAA